TTGAATGTAGCGGAATCTCCTCCAAACACAGGCGGCTCTTTCGTAAGGCGGGGTGTTGGCTCCCACGGTTCCGAGTTCGGATGTATCGTTCGGTTTCCTTGGCTAACGCGCTGAGCGGTCTTGATATCGTTTATCAGCCGAACGACGAGTACGAAGAGCGTAAGCAGAGCGACCAGAACACCTGCCAAAAGCAGAGTAGTAACCATCCTCTGCTACCAGTGTAACAGGCTTAATCAAACTTGAAAAGTAAGATGCCTGGTTGAGCGTGCCTCGACCAGTTATATGCAAAATGTGATAGTATACATGTGGCAATGGCGCCAATGAAGGTGCTAATAGACAGGCGTAAGACGCATGAGGTGCGAGGGAGTGTAAAGTTATAGAGAACAGGGGAAAACTGTTACAAGTGTGGTCCAACACTGTCCTGTTTTTAAAAATTCATATCAAAAGGCAATAATATTACCTGAGCAAAGAAAGGGATAAAGGAGCACAGTTTTGCACTGGAACATTCGCAAGATGGAGCCGATAAGCGTGTAAGGTAGCGACAAATTTCAAAACAGTGCCTGGTGAGGGCATTAAGCTGCCTCGTTGAATCAGTAGCCAAAAACATGCGTGGACGCCGAGGGCTAGGGGCTTTTTGGATGTGAAGGTCACTGACCTTGACCATGCGACCAGAAGACTCGCAGTCATATGTCCTTTTCCTTTAAAATTTATTATTAGCTCCACATCCGAGTTTCAAGTTTCAAGCTGTTATAGTCAACATAGCCGCATTTCGATCCTTCACAAACCCGAGAGAAATTCCTAACAGGAGATGTTCTATCCTAGTGAGTGCAAACACTTGATATTGATCACAGCTGAATGGGGAAAGTCTGGATCAACTTAGGTCCTAGAGCTAAAACCGTCTTCGAATTCGGTGCACTCTTCAGCGCCTAAACACGTGATTTACTCCGAATAGTTAACTTCTTTCTCTTTGCTCATGGCTTCCGTCATTGTGAATGTTTTGTGATGCTTGACCATACGACCAGAAGGTGAGTGTACAACAAACGTGCAAGAAGGGTGTTACATGGAAACAAGGAAAATGGTTGGGCAAAAGTCATGAGTTAGAGTCCACAAACTACACAAAGTTTTGAACAGTCACACATGCACAGTATAGCAGCAGACTGAAAAGGAAAGGAGCACTGAGACATTCCACGGCCAGGAAGTGAGCTAAAATTCATCTGAGTACAAGAATGGTGGGCTGTTGCTTTTACGGAATTTGTTTGTTTGTTTGTTTAAATGAAGTTGAAGACACCACTGCAGCTGTACTTATGGTTGATAAATATGGTGGTAAAGACACACCTGGCAATATGGCGTGTGTGAGCAGGCGTGTGTTTACCGCCATATTGCCAGGTGTGTATTTACCACCATGTTTATCAACCATAAGTACAGCCGCAGTGGTGTCTTCAACTTCATTCTCCCGAGTCAAGCTCCGTATGAAGACATCCAAGAAGAAGATTGCCTGATGAGTCCAGCGGGGACGAAACGTACGTCGCATTCGAGCTATGTCGTTGCTGTGTCATCATCTATGTGCCACGCACTACTTGATGTACCAGCCTGCTATGCCGGATACCGCCAGCCATGCATCGACCAGGCGCAAGGCGCGAACTGATGGTGGTGGTGGTGAGAAGGAGAGCTCTGTGCCAGAACTTTGCAGCCTAGAGAGCGTGTTTGGGCAGGCGTGTGTTTACCACCATATTGCCAGGTGTGTCTTTACCACCATATTTATCAACTGTTTGTTTGTTTAGCTTTATTTTACTTCACCAGAAGCTAGGGCAAAATCTGCCTTCTCACTGGGCGTATTGCCACAGTTCTTGCAAAATGATGAAGATAGTGATAATGATAAGAAAAGGATGAAGAGGAAAGTGCAACAATGAGCAGGGCACAAAGAGAAGACGGAAACAAATAAATGAGGGAGTGCTACAAGTGACCAATTTGCTCCTCTATACAGGCCCCGGATCACATGGGCAGATCTCTTTTATGGACAATAATATTTTTTCGAGACGAGCATAAGAATATCAGGATTACTAGTGTGTACCCTCCTGATATATCACAACTCCTTCATTGGATATATCACAACTCCTTGATTGGATATATCACAACTCTTTGATTGGATATATCACAACTCCTTGATTGGATATATCACAACTCCTTGATTGGATATATCACAACTCCTTGATTGGATATATCACAACTCCTTGATTGGATATATCAAAACTCCTTGATTGGATATATCACAACTCCTTGATTGGATGCCTAACTAGGTATGGTTCAAACATCTCACCGTTCTGGTTGACTTACGAATTTCACACGTAGCAAAAAACTTGTCACTTGCTCTAACATCCTTCCCATTTATATCTTTGTAAATGTAAGAAGGGAAACCCCCTAGCCACGAACGGACGGGCGAAGCAAAGCCACGTAAATGGCATCTTCCAACAGTGGATTTAGTTGTTATCAACTTTCCTTTATATAGTCGGCAAAGTTGACGTGCGTCATCACGAAGAAGTCGAATGCGTGATGATGCAATTATGGATTCACTAGCTTGGCAGTAACGATGTTCGATCAGGTTTGAAAATGGAACTGAACCTGCAACCATTGACAACACAGCACAGCAGACAAGCAGAGAGACTGTCGCAAAGGCATGCAAACACCCATCAACACATGTATTTACATGCATGCAAACACCCATCAGCGGTTTTTCCAGTCGTGCTGCTACCCACAGTCACCTGGAAACTTGTGGCCAGGCACAAGGGGGTACATGGATGCAGCTAATGGGGTCGTTCTTGGCACTTGTGCCAGTGGTTGCGAGACTTATCCACTCACCCCCACCGTTAGGCGCTGTATCTGCCGCTAGGGTTTACCGGGTGTTAGCGGCCGTCGTGAGTTCCCTTCGGGAACGGACACGATCATTTACTTTAACTTAACTTTTAACACCCATCAACACATGTATTAACACATTTCCATCAGCCAACAGGAAGCCTAGCAACACCAAGAGCAACTGACATACAAGAAGCAGGTTCAGAAAGACAACATTCTTGCATGACACGTTGGCAGACCGAACAAGACAGACTCAAACATCTCAACATTCTAGTTCCACACTGCATAGAATGTAATAGGGGAGCGCAAGACTTTGCGGGTCCTGTCATGTACATGATTACATGGACTAGTGATCACATCTGAACTAATTGCTAATTCGTGGCGGTTGGTTCTAACCCCAAGCCGCCTCCCCTTGATCCGCCGCTGAACAGGCACAAACAGTGCAGCCTAAACGTCAAAATGTAACGTAATATTAATACTTGTGAAGGTTAGTGAGATATGGATGGGTAAAGATTCTACTACTAAAGAATGGAGAAAGGTGGGGTGATTGAGTATTATCAAGAGCCCATTAGCATTTTTTTGTTTGTTTATGAACTCTTCGCATTTTGTGAAGAGTGTGCGTGTGTGTTTGTGTGTGTGTGTGTGTGGGGGGGGGGGGTATTTTCCTTCTGCTTGCACACAACAGGACCATGGATATGTAGGTAGACAGCTTCTCCCTGGAAAATTGAGATTAAAATTATCAAGAATGGACTCGAATGGAGAGCCAAGGAAAATTTTATAGTAGAGAACCACGGGGAGAGGACCTTGTAACTACGGGTTACGCTATAATGTCCACAAACACCACCGGTTACAAAACAATCAGCACATGTGATTAGTGTTTGTTTAGTAACTGGTAAAGCAAATGTGCTTACATAATATTACAACACAAAAATCTCAATACAAAAATTGAACAAAACGCCAAGAATCTGAAGAAAAAGACTCAATCCAATACTTTGTTGCCATAACGGGAACTGAAACCCAACACAAATCTGAGAAGATGGCAGTTGGCGGTCACGTGGCAACAAAATCACCAAACGTAAGCAGTGACAATGTTGAAACAGGGTTGTAGGAGACAAACTACAAGTAAGCAAGCAACGCATACAAAGAAACAATCAGAAAGTTAAAATACATTTATTATCGTCTAGACCACTGACCTGGACAGGCAGCGGTGCAAGAAGCCGTGGTCCCGCCTACGCCCCATACAACCCTTGAATTTGCGGAAGCATTGTATGGCCCAACGGAGCAGGGTAAACAACAGGAGGCTCCGAAGCTCACCCATCACTACCGAGTAGGCAAGCTCGCTGTGCTTCTCCACCAGTTGCGGCGCCGGTGCCTTCAAACACAATGTTGTCTCTTTACCGCACATGCCGGAGGTACTGAAAACGAGAGGAGTGAAAGCTCCACGGTCCACTCTGTTCACTCTGTCACTTATGTTCTTTTTTTGGCCTTTTCATACTGGTGGTGTTAGTGGACATCACAGACTAACTTGTAGTAACGTGGTCCTTTTTCTCCACCAGTCCCTAAACAATCAGTTCACACGGTAACAGTGTTATCGCACAAGCTGATTGTTTAGTAACCGGTGGTGTCAGTGGACACTATAGCGTAACTTGTACTCTCTTGGTCCTTTTATCTTTACTATAAATTTAAAATGATCAGTGCTATACTGTATGAGGTTTTACTTACTGTGACAGGATGACAGGACTGGGCTCAATGACTGGCTACCATTGCATGTTACCAGAGGATTTCCAACCAGAACGTAACCGCTTTGACATGAATACTTAGCCGCTTCAAGATATTTTATGACCGAAGCATTTACCATGCCAAATTCCAATCTCTCGGGCGAACATACAAACTCTGGGCACAGGATTGGTAAAGAAAATCAAGAAAAGATTATGATAACTCACATGGTATAGTCTTTAAGTTCAAATAATATACATGTACCTAAAACAGAAACATGTATTCAGCTGGTAGTGGTGGTAGCGATAAAAAAGGATTCCTTTGCGGAAAACTCTAACCGAAAATGGGTGGATACGCATATGCTTCATCGAAAATGAGTGGTCACGCGCATGCTTCTTCAAAATGAGTGTACATGCGCATATGCTTCATCGAAAATGAGTGGATGTGAATGTGCTTCTTCGGAAATGAGTGGATGTGAATGTGCTTCTTCGGAAATGAGTGGATGTGAATGTGCTTCTTCGGAAATGAGTGGATGTGAATGTGCTTCTTCGGAAATGAGTGGATGTGAATGTGCTTCTTCGGAAATGAGTGGATGTGAATGTGCTTCTTCGGAAATGAGTGGATGTGAATGTGCTTCTTCGGAAATGAGTGGATGTGAATGTGCTTCTTCGGAAATGAGTGGATGTGAATGTGCTTCTTCGGAAATGAGTGGATGTGAATGTGCTTCTTCGGAACTGAGTGGATGTGAATGTGCTTCTTCGGAACTGAGTGGATGTGAATGTGCTTCTTCGGAAATGAGTGGATGTGAATGTGCTTCTTCGGAAATGAGTGGATGTGAATGTGCTTCTTCGGAAATGAGTGGATGTGAATGTGCTTCTTCGGAAATGAGTGGATGTGAATGTGCTTCTTCGGAAATGAGTGGATGTGAATGTGCTTCTTCGGAAATGAGTGGATGTGAATGTGCTTCTTCGGAACTGAGTGGATGTGAATGTGCTTCTTCGGAAATGAGTGGATGTGAATGTGCTTCTTGGGAAATGAGTGGTTACACGCATGCTTCTTAGACTTATGTACATGCATACTGTATAATCTTCACAAGGACAAAGAAAAGTTCGTTTATAGTTCTCCTCATCACTTTATCCAAGAGTACATAAACCAGAATGTGCAACTGCGCATATCAGATCTGAAACAGCGCTGTTCGTGCACTACGTCACCATGATGAGGTCAGCCAAGCTGCGACTTTCGTACAGCTCAAATTTTCATGTTTCACAGTCCGGAAATCAGCCAATTTTGCATGATTATTAGACGTCCTGTTTTGATTTCGGTGTTTTTGTGCGACTGTGTTAGCTGTGTACATACACCGGCAAGTAAATTCACCAGGCTTCCCGTCTCAAACAACCGAATCAGAAAATTCACCAGGCTTCCCGTCTCAAACAACCGAATCACGACAAACTCAGTGACCTGCACCACTGTGACTGGTTACGCAACTTATATGTAGAAGCAAGAGTACATAACCCCCCAGAGTGTGCAACGCCGATCCCGCTCTGTGTAGGGTCTTGGTCGAGCGGAATCGGATCTTCTGATGTCATGCGTACACTTCACACCAGCGCAAGGCCGGTCTCGAGGCAGGGCACCATTGTTTTTGATCCAAGACTACCCGCGACTCCCCGGGTTCCCCTCAGATGTGTACGGTATTATGACGCAAAGATCCGATTCCGATCGACCAAGACCCTATGCAGAGCTGGATCAGGCGTTGCACACTCTGGGGGGTTATGTACTCTTGGTAGAAGTGACACGAAAAAATGGATGTGAAGAATCAAGAAAACAGCATGAAAATCCAATAAGTGACAAAAACGTAGTGACAAGAAAAAGAGAGAAACTGCCCAGCAGTGCTAGTTGTCGTGAGTGGTATTCCGATGATGCATTCTCTGTTTTGTCGCGTGGTAGGTCTTTGTTACATCTTGCCGTGTTGGAAGCTTTGTACATACGTAAGTTAGACCCTGAGCTTTGTGTTCAGAAGGAGAATGTGTTGTCTTTGCAGTTGTTTGGCACTGTTCGTCGTGAAGGTGCGAAATAGATCCCTTGATCTTTTGATATTTCTCTCTTTTTCTTGTCACTACGTTTTTGTCACTTATTGGATTTGCATGCTGTTTTCTTGATTCTTCACATCTATTTTTTCGTGTCACTTCTACACATACCGTATATTCTCTATTTTAAGCACAGGTCTCCATTACTAGCACAGTCTCTAATACTAGCGCACTGTGAGCACCTTTCGAAACATTATAAGCACGGTCTCCATTATTAGCACGGTCTTGGTGGAATTTAATGCTGCATGCATAATATCTAGCATGTATTTCTTCTTGCTCTGTATGGGTGTATTGGTTGAAAAATATAAGCGCTCTCTCCAATATAAGCGCGGTCTCCAATATAAGCGAGGGGTGGAGGGGTGTTGAAAAAATATAAGCACGGTGCTTATAATAAAGAATATACGGTAATTGGAGTGATATATTTCTGAACTTCTTTTCCTTATAGTTGTAGTCTTTTAGCTTATTTCCATCATTCCCTGTAGTATTTTGACAAGAAGGGAACGAAAACGTTCAATACTTTGACACATGTCCTAATTGGCTGGTGGTGACTCTTCCGTAGATGCATGCATAGATAATACATTTCTTGTAATAATAATAATAATATTATCTGGTTTGAGGGGAAGAGACAAACGGGAAAAGTCTGAAGAAACAATTGACTAACACCACCAGGACTCGAACCAGGGACCCTCGCTTTATTATAATAATATTAAAAACGAGAGAGCTTGGAAGCTCAGGGCCCTACGCTATGCTTTGTTACTTAGCTCATCGTGCATGTTGTGGGAACTGATGGAAATGTTTCCTGGGACGGCGCTGACTCTGCCGAGCACGCGCGTTTTGGAGTCGACGGGATCTCTCTGCCGACGTTTCCTGTGACCGGCGCTGACTCGCCCGTTCACGCCTATTTTGGAGACGACGGGATCTCTGAAAGCATGTTTTTACTGACGCATCGTATCACCTATTCGGCAACTAACATCCATTCTAATTTCATTTCCTCCTCGTCTCCCTATTTCTTTCCGGAAAGTCTCTCTATACATCAGGGAGTCGTACTGTATTGGCAGCTACCCTAACGGGTCACGCCGCCCACCACCCAAGCATGGGTATGATGAGGGACAGTGGCAACAGAAACAAAAAAACAGCAAGCAGGGAGAGAAAGCAAGAGAAAGACGGCGATAGTAGTACATCTGGTGTGCGACGTATAGAAAAGAGAGATGACAAGAGATGCGCACAAAATAGGAAACAATATTTATTAACAGGCAGGCATAGTGGGATGGTCTAAGACCATGATTGAGAACCAGAGGGTACCAGGTTCAAGTCCTGCTTGGAAGCGGAAGGAATTTTTCCAGCCGTGCTGCGACCCACAGTTAATTGGGAACTCGTGGCCTGGCACGAGGGTAACATGGATGCAGCTAATGGGACTTCGGTCTTTGACCACTTGGTGGTGGGTCTGATCTACTCACCTCCCACCGTTTAGGCGCTGCATCTGCGCCTTTGATCCTAGAGGGTGGTGGCGTTCCCACGGCGGATGCGGAAAACTCGGCTTCCAGCCGAGTCTCACGCGAACCGTGAAATTTAAATTTATATTTATTTACTTTTGCAGTTCCGAAACAATCAACCAGGTGATGGAGTGTGGGCACCCGAAGTCCCGCCTGGACTCCACTGGAAGAACATCCCACGCGGTGATATCAGCGATAGGCCAAGTGTTGAAAAACAGCCATGAGGACACATCGTCTAGAAGTCCACCGCGCTCGAACTGAAATTGCAGGTTCAAACAATTTCCCACGCGGCGTCAGGCAGCGTAACTCTTCTCCCTGCATCACCATCCATCTCCAGCAACCGTCTCCACTCACAGCTCATGCCTCTGCCACCACTGTACTCCTCCAAGCTTCGCAGTTTGAAACCATTCGGGGGTCAGCTACACCACCGCAAATGGAGAGACGAGGACGACAACGGTCGTGACTGAAAAGACACTGCCTTGGCGACCGCGTCGCGGAACCCTCGCCCCAGCAAATTCAGAAATACGCCAGGGGCAACTCTGGTGGACTCAGAGCCACCTCCTTGGCAAGACTAGTAAGAGAAACGACTGAAAACTCAGATTAAACGGAGCTACAAAAAGTGCAACCGTCCCCTTCAAGCACAGTTGCAACACACAGGGAGTCGTATACATGTACATAATATCGTGGCCAGCTGTTTGTAGCCAGCTGTGTTTGATGGTACGGTACGGTACGGGACAGATACGGGAGCCAGCAAATGGCCAGCTGTGCGATACGGTACGGGACAGATACGGGATAGAGCCAGGCGTGACACAAACAAACAAACAAACAAACAAACAAACACCAAATTAAAGCTGTGTGGACCCTGGCTAGCGCCAGACGTTACTGAAGTAACGTCTTCTGCATAGCTACGGGAATAATAATACGAACTTAGATGGCAGATGGCAGTCAGATGGCAGTCGTGAGTCAGTTAAGTGTCAAGTTCGGCAAGAAGCGTGTGCTCCTCGTTGGAGCAACCAACTTTAAAATAATAATAATAATAATAATAAGTATTCGCATGCAACGACGCAAATCCACACAATTCAGTAGACACTTCTTTTCTATCAAACATTTTCTTTCCCTTCTCTTCAGGATAGTACAGGGAATGTTGGAAATTTGGAAAACACATAACTATATAGAAAAATAGAGAAAAAGTCAACACTTCAACATAGGCGATAAAATGACTAAAGTGTGAAAAAAATCGAAAACCAAAGCAGCAAGTTGTAGACAAACACGTTGAACACATCAAGAAGCACTTGTCACACTTTCACGAGGTGTGACACCAAACAACTGCAACGATAAAACATTCTCCTTCTGTACACATAGTTCTGGATCTAGTTTACGAATATACAGAGCTTCTAACACAGCAAGATGAAACTTAGACCTTCCACGAGTTAAAACCGAAAAGACATCATCACTATACAACTCACGACAACTAGCACTTCCCGACAAATGACGCTTGATGGACGAAAAACCTTTCTTACAAATCATCGCCGAAGTCGCAACCACTATTATAATAATAATAATAATAATAATAATCAACGCAATAAATAAAGTAAGCTGCCCCACTGTACAAGTCCCTAGAATACTACAATGCCCTCCCTGCTAGCATTCGTGACGTCTCCTCCCGACCTGCTTTCAAACAAGAAATCTGCTCACTGCTGATTAACTCAATCTGCTCCTGCAGCGCTCACCCTCTCCCATACTTGTAAAGTTCAAAGTGATGTAAATCACTTTCCTACTGTTTAACCCACAATCTCACCTTCTCATCAATTTATCTCTTATTGGCGATGGTGCCATCGTGAGAATAAACAATTCAAAAAAAGCTGCGCACTCAGTACACACACCATTAGCAACACTTGTTTTCATGTAAATAACGAAGCTTGTTCCTAAACGTTTTCGTCGCCATCTCATCAGAGGATTACTGGCAAATCAACATTCGCTCTAAACTCAATATATATACGCACAATGCAAGTAATAATTTAGACCATAACTAGCGCATGAAAATGAGAGCTGAAAGAAACATTACATCAATCAACGATATCAGGTGACAACAGATGCGATAAATTCACCAATAGAAAGTAACCATGCAACCACAAACGAGAACTACTGATCTTAATTCACAAACAATTTCAACTTATACAAATTCTTTTTCTGCCTACACAAAATCGGCTTGGTGGTAAAAATGTAGATAGACTCCAATACACGCAGATACCTTTGACTACGTGAACGAGACCAAACAGAAAAGCAATCATCAGCATAACTAGAACGACAATCACTATTCTGAACAAGATGGTTAGCAACAGAAGATTCATACACCCTACCACCACTACTAGAACCAGTACATACTTTGGAATTAAGTGACAATGAAACCGACCTGACATTCCTTGCCGCTACTGCCAATCCAGACAAGGCCGATGTAGATGTCAGGACCAAAGGCACGTCCGT